GCGGGGGATGTCCGACTGCTGGTTTAGGCCCGATCTTGCAGTCGGACATCCCTCTCACAATCCGGGACCGCTGGCTCCTAACCGCTCAACTGCCTGCCTGCCTGATCACCTCTAACCACTCTGCATGGCTGCCTGATTGCCCCCAAACGCCTCTGCCTCAGCCCCTGCTGTGGTGACTTAGTCCAGAAGGACGTCTAGAATGACGTCCAGAAGGTCATTGGGCTGTCCAGTCTAATAGCATATTATGCTTTTATTATTATAGATAATAATCAAGACCATGTGAAGTACTTTAATAAAGATTAAGTATTTGTGTACCTAGAATAGCACACCATGTGCAGTAAAGATAGACAAAATATATCAATGGAACAGTAGAAGAAACAGAAATAGACTTACATATATATATGGTCAATTAGTTTTTAAGAAAAGTACCAAAGCAAATCATTGGGGAAAGAATAATCTTTTCAATAAATAGTTTCTAGAACAACTTAACACTCAATATGCAAAACAACCCTTAACACACACCATAAAATTTTAATTCAAAATAGGTCAGACTTAAATGTAAAATCCACATAGAAAATCTTAATGACCTTGAGTTTCTGAAAAACTGCTTAAATATGACACAAAAAGTAAGAAATGTAAAAGACAAAACTAATACATTGGACTTCATTAAAAACACTCACACACACACATTTTCCAAAGGATAGTATTAGTAAGGTAAATTCTTTTTTAAAAATATGTTTTTATTGATTTCAGACAGGAAGGGAGAGGGAAAGAAGTAAGAGGGAGAGAGAGAAACAATGATGAGAGAGAATCATCGATTGGCTGTCTCCTGCATCCCCCCTACTGGGGATCAAGCCTGCAACCCAGGCATGTGCCCTTGACAGGAACCGAATCCGGGACCCTTCAGTCCACAGGCCAATGCTCTATCCACTGAACCAAACCAGCTAGGGCTCTTTATATAATCTAAATACAACAAACACATAGATCCAAAATAATTTTATTTGTAATAACCAAAAACTAGAATAGGTAACTAGATAAACAATTTGTGATATATCCATACCCAATCAAGTAATAAAAAAAAAAAGCTAACTATTAAGATATGCCAAAACATAACTAAATTTCAAAAATATTATGGAAGTTCACATGAAACTTAAGACAAATATAATCTATTCTGACAGACAGCAGATCAGTGGTTTCCTGTGAGCTAAGGTTTGTGGGAAGTTGGGAAGGAGCCCTGACCTGGATGGGAAAAAAGGGAACTTTCAGAGGTGACAGAAATGTTCTGTCTTCACTTTGGTGGCGTTTTATGGGTGTATAAATCTGTCAAAATGTACATATATATTTAAATTTTATTATATATAAACTAAACCTCAAAGATACTTTTTTAAAAAAAGGCAACAATAATCTAGGAAATTAATAATCAGATGACTAACTAACACTGGGGGGAGGGAGGACATGCAACCAAATTTCAACATCCAATCATGATAAGAATTCTCAACCTACATAGCAACATCTTCGACCAAAAAAAAAAGCATCTACAAAAATGTGCTACTAATATTACACTTAATGGTGGAAGACTGAATGCTTCCCTAAACAGAAAAAAGGTAAGAATGTCCTTTCTCACTCGGTAAGTATAACCACACTTCAAAGGAGTTCTCAGTCGTACCCAGTAGTAATCAACTATATTTTGCTGGTAAATTGTTTTCTTTTTCTTTGACCATTTCATTACCTCCCTTCCATTTTTTCTTCAAACCTCTTACATCCCTGTACCTGGCCCACTCTGAGATAATCATTTCTTTTCACATTTTATTTTTCACAAGGTAAATCAATAATACAAACTCTTTCATCTTCCTACCATCAAATCTCTCAAGAAGGGAGAGGCCCTATCCTGGCCATCACTCAAAAAAGGCCATGTTATCTGGCCAGCTTAATACTCAACCAACCTTGGAGCACAAACATAGGCCTTAACCTAGAAACTCTAGGTAACTAATAAACTAATATTTTATCAATATATCCTACAATCAATCACAACAAATCCTACAACAAAACCCTACATGGTCACTCTGTCATAAATCTGTCATAAAGCCATAGTAAGAAGCCAAAGATAATTAATCCCCAACTTTTAGTTCTCCATCTTTGAGAATGGTTCTTGCCATTTAAAAAGTGTACACACACACACACACACACACACACACAGGGGTTGGCAAAAGTAGGTCTACAGTTATGAGTACACAAAACAGTTTACTCTTATATTATTATTTACTACTAGAGGCCCGGTGCACGAATTCATGCACGGAGGGAGTCCCTCAGGGTGGCCTGCGGAGATCAGGCCCCAGATGGCACCCCCAGCCTCGCAGCCCCACAGCCCCACCTGGCACCCTGCCTTGGCCTGGCACTGCCTGTTCACCTGCCCCACCATCCTGCCCCAGTCCCGCTCTTGTCAGGGCCCATCAGGGCCGGCAGCACCTTCACTGCCACCTGCTGCCAGCGCCACATCGCCAACGCCCACCATGTTTTGCGCTGACCCACAGTGGTCGGCACACATCATAGCGAGCAGTTGAACGACCGCCAGAGGAGACAATTTGCATATTAGGCTTTTATTAAATAGGATTATATTATTTATTTGTATTACATCTGTAAGCCTACTTTTGCAAACCCCTGTATATGTATAACAACTACATTTGGTTTCTGACCAACAAATATAGGAAAAGTAAAAGAAAAACACAAAATACATATGCAATTTACACAATATTTGTTCCTTACCTGCTGGTGCCGGGTGCTGGGAAAGGTGTACTGAACAGAGTGGGAAGGATAACGGCTTTGTTCTGTGCTGAATGCTCCTTGGTTGGGAGGATAACCTGAACTTGACATTATCAGTAAAGAAGTCCTCACGAGGCTGTGAGATCAAATCCAACAAACAATCATGTTTCTAGGAAACCACCTAAATAGAATGGGAAAAAATAGAACTGATAAGAACTAAGGCACCAGGTGTACTTCTAATAAATTATAACTATCGCTACATAAATAAAACCACAATTACCAGTAAAAGGTTTCTCTTGTGTATTTACTTAATATAATAGAAATTATTGACATTTAAAAATATTAATAAGTCTTTATTTCCCTTTACACTTAAAAAAGGTTACTTAACATACCACAAATAATACCAGCAGCTGTATAAAGTAAAAACATGGGACTCGCACAGAGCAACTGCTCAGTAAATGCCTTTCTTTCTATAAAAGTCTGAGAAACAGACATTATATATTACAAAAACAAAAATCCATGATTGTGAACTTTGAGGTGGTAAAAAAGTCACCTGTTAAAAAGATTCGAGAGTATTTACAAGATAGGTACTTGTGCAGAGGAAATATTGTTCTTGTTAAATAATTCTGTGTCAAAATGATAAGCTAAGAAGGCACTAATAGGAAAACTTTCAAGAAAGAACAAAGCGAGACTACCACGTCAAGAAGAAAACTGCCAATATTCGTGAAAATTAGAATTCTGGAAAAACTTGCATCTGCCACCATGACCTTGACAATTTCCCCACATTTGAAGACTTTTCTGACAAGACTGGTGGTGATATTAAGTGTGAGTTTTTTTATATTATATAATAAAATGTTCCAACATTAGAAATATCTACATTAACTGAATGAATCAAAATTTTCCAACTAATACCGAATGTTACAAAATTATGCATGAATAGTTATTTAAAGCACAAGATATTTTTACCACAATTAAATATCATGACAAACCAGTAAATGTTTAGTGTAATAGAATATGAAAGACTCATTGATATGGCTTCAAATTCTACACAGCAACTAACCTTTAAAAAATTACCACTTTTTTGGTTTAGGTTGGTATTGAAGAATAGCCACAATTATCTTTAAAAGCTATTAAAATACCCCTCCCTTTTCCAAGTACACATCTGTGTAAGGTTAGCTTTTCTTCATAAACTTCAATCAAAACAACATACCACAAGACCGATGTAAAAGCAGATATGAGTATCAAGCTATCTTCTAAGCCAGATATTAAAGAGGTTTGCAAAAATGTAAAATAATGTCACTCTTCTCAACAAATTTTGTTTAATTTTAGAAAATAGTTGTCATAAACATGTTATATATATTAACATTAAATGTGTTTATATTATTCCTAAATGAATAAATATCTTTAAAGTTTCCCCATTTTAATATCGAATGTGGTAAATATCAACATATATAACCCACATAAACAGAAGCTCCTTAGAGCTCTAAATTTTTAAGAGTGTAAATGAGTCTTGAGACCAACATGTTTGATGACCACTGGCCCGGAGAATTAGGTCAATCTTTAGTGTCCTATACAGGTTGTTCACACCCAGGTCCATGTATACACACTCCTTCTAGAGAACCTGCCCCTAGTTAAGGTGTGGTTTTGACACCATGTTTGTACCAAGTGAACTACCCTATTGGACCAGGGATATACCAATCAGATCCCTCTTCAGAAATTTGGAATTGAGAACATGAGCTACAGGTACCTGAGTTGCAAAGTGGCCACAGCAAGAGTCAAGATGAGCCACATATTTTGTGCCATCGAAGTTAACAAGGAAGTAAAGAACACCAACCTAGACAAAGACTAGAGTAGACATGCATAGAGAAGTAGAGCCAAGAGAATTTGCAAGCCCCTAAGACACAGCAGCAGTTGCCTTGGCTCCTGACTCTCAGCTCCAGGGTCTGTCCCCACAGGAGACCACTGTACTTCTTTCCTTGTCCTTGGATACCTGTTAAACTGAACTAAAGGGTGTCCCAAAATTCACGCAAGAAGTAATTTTGATAGAAAACACAAGTTTATAATTAAAAATTGTAAATTTTTTTATTGATTCATAAAGTATACAATATAGGGTTATGTATGGAATAGCATATCGGGTAAATGGCCTCCACGGCTTTGCTGGCACATGCACAAATGGATTATGGAACAACAACAAGTGGATGCTGATTTTTCAAACAAAATCATCTTCAGCGATGAGGCTCATTTTCATCTTGATGGCTTGGTTAATCGACAAAATTGTCCCATTTGGGGTTCAGAAAATCCACGAGTGATTGAGAAACAAATGCATCCACAATGTGTCACTGTTTGGTGCAGATTTTGGGCTGGAGGCATCATCGGACCATTCTTCTTCGAAAATGTGGCTGCTCAGGCAATAACAGTTAATGGTGCTCGCTATCGCGACATGATAACCAAGTTTTTTGTGCCTAAATTGCAAGATATGGATATGGACGACATGTGGTTTCAACAAGACAGTGCCACATGCCATACAGCCCAAGAAACAATTCAATTGCTGCATGAGTCATTTCCTGGTCGTGTAATTTCCCATTTTGGTGATCAGAATTGGCCACCCAGATCATGCGATTTAATGTCGCTGGACTTTTTTCTTTGGGGTTTTTTGAAGTCTAAGGTTTATGCCAACAAGCCCATGACCACCCACGCCTTGAAGGAGGAAACTGAGCGCTGTAGCAACAAAATTCAGCCACATTTATGCAAAACGGTCATGGAAAATTTCAACAAAAGAGTGCATATGTGCCAGAAAAGCCGTGGAGGCCATTTACCTGATATGTTATCCCATACATAACCCTATACTGTATACTTTATGAATCAATAAAAAGTTTACAATTTTTAATTATAACCCTGTGTTTTCTATCAAAATTACTTCTTGTGTGAATTTTGGGACACCCTTTACATGGTCTTACAGTAAGTCCTTCTTTACTAAATATAAGTGAGTAGGTTATTATTTCTCATAATTCTAAGATCTCAAGTTAAGTCTCAAAATAACTGTATAGACCTTGGAAACAACCTAAGTGTCATTTCCATCAACTGATGATGAATAAATAAAATCAGGTATACTCATATAAGGGAATATTATTCTGCCATAAAAACGAATGGCCCTGGCCGACATAGGTCAGTAGTTAGAGTATTATCCCATACACCAAGTTCATCCCTGCCCTGGTCTCTGGCAAATTTGGGAGGCAACCAGTCAATGTATCTCTTTCACATCAATGTCTCTCTCTGTCTCTGTCTTTCTCTCCCCACTACCTTCCACTCTCTAAAAAAAAAAAAAAATGAAGTATTGACACCTGCAATAACTTGGATGAATCCTGAAAACATTATGCTAAGTAAAAATAGCCAATCATAAAAGTATACATTTTGTATGTTTCCTTTCATATGAAAGTCCAAAATAGTCAAAATAGTGATAGAAAGTGGATTAGTGGCTGCTTAGGGATGGTGGGATGTGGATGAAGGAATACAACATGAAAGCTCAAGTCTCTAGGATTTCTATTGTGTTTTCTTTTTCACTGTGGTGAAATACACTTAACATATAATTACCATTTTAGCCATTTTGTTTTATTTTATTTTTATTAACCCAAGGATATTTTTCCATTGATTTTTAGAGAGAGTGGAAGAGAGAAGGAAAGACAGAAACTTTGATGTGAGAGAAACACATCGATTGATTGCCTCCTGCACGAGCCCCGACCAGGGGCCGGGCTGGGGAGGAGCCTGCAACCCTTGACCGGAATCAAACCTTTGGTCCATAGGCTGACACTCTAACCACTGAACCAAACCGGCTAGGGCCATTTTAGCCATTTTTAAGTGTACATTTCTGTAGCTTTATGTACATTCATATTACTGTGCAACTATCATTACCATCTATTTCCAGAACTTTTTCTTCCCCAACTGAAACTCTAAACCCATTAAACACTAACTCCCAATTCCTCCTCCCTCTGGTAACCACCATTCTACTCTCTGCCTCTATGAATTTGTCTATCTATAATAATAAAAGGGTAATATGCTAATTAGGGCAGACCTCTTCCAGACATCCATCCAGACAAAGCCACAGTGGCTGCAAGGCCCGGGTCTCAGGCCTCCCAGCCGCCACAGCTGGCAGTGGCAGCAGCAGCGGGGTAATGGGAGCAGCGCCTTCCCCTGATCAGCCTGGTCACCTCCCGCAGAGGTTGTCATTAGGACATCCCCTGAGGGCTACCAGACTGTGAGAGGGGGCAACTGGGCTGAGGGACAACCCCCCTCAGTGCACGAATTTTCATGCACCAGGCCTCTACTTCCTCATATAAGTGGAATCATACAGTATTTGTTATTTTGTGACTGGATTATTTCACTTAGCATATCTTCAAGCCGTATCCATATAATAGCATTATATCAAAATTATTCCACTTTTTAAGGCTAAATAATATTCTCTGTATGGGGATTCCTTTTTGAGGTGGTGAAAATGTTCTAAAATTGACTGTAGCAATGCTTGAACACACCTCTGAATATACTAAAAACTGTTGCATTGTAAAAAAAAAAAAATGGATGAATTGTATGGTATACAAATTCTGTACCAATAAAGCTGTGTTTTAAAAATTATCAAGCCCAAACAAACAAAACTATATGAATATAAAGCAACCACAGAATTTTAAAATTATTGTGCTGCAGTCCAAGTTAATATATAACATCTTTCAGGGGTTTTAATATCCCCCGTGTTCATATCTTAAAAACTCTGAAGTCAATGTGCATCCTACAATCAATGCACATTATGATTTAATTAGCACTTTTTCCTTAATCTTAGAGGCAAATAACATTACCCTATAAGCAAAGAAATCTTTTGGCTGAAATACAGTCTGAGAGTTATTGCATTTAGTAAATCTTTGGTTTTTGTCAGAAATCATCCCCAGGAAAGCTCTCAGAACAGAAATTACCATTTGCGTTTCTTCCCTTTGTTCCTTGACCCTTAGGATAAGGCAAGATAATTAAGGACACTAATATTCTCACAGTGATTTCCAATTGGAGGTCCTTAAAAGACCACGTAACATTTGCAGTGCTTTGAAAAAAGCCTAACAGAAATATATATAAACACTAGGGACAGAGAAAGATATCCTAAGCACAAACCAAAGGCACAAATAAGGTTGGTTGATATCTTTA